TCGAACCCCATCAAAGGACTAAAGGTGGGCCGAATTGATGATGATAGGATCTCTAGTTGTTCAAAGACCGCCTTTGTGATAATATTGGCGTTGCTACCTAGGTATACCAAAACTCTTTTGATCATGCAATTTGCCACCAGAAGATTGATGACTAGTGGATCCTCGTGGGGAAGTTAAACTCTGGATAAATCTCCATCGCCGAACCCAATACTGATACTGCCCGGGGCGATAGTGTTTACCGAGGATAACTTCCTTAGCTTGTGGGCTGCCCTCAGTCTGGATTGGTACACTTCTTCCGACTCTTGGTCGTCCTCTAATCTCCCATGTATTGCATAAATGACTTTTACTTTATTGCCCTCTACTTTCCGAGGATTGACCTCCCTAGGCTTAATGTATTCTTTTGATGCGAGGTAATCTGCTAACTCACATCTGGTTATCATGTTTTCCACTTGCCGTCTAAGGGACCTACAATCGTTAGTTGTATGCCCATAATCCCTATGGTAGGCACAGTGTTTACTTTTGTCCCTTTGCTCCAAGGGTTGCCTTATTGGCTGAGGGGCTGCAAATCTTACCTTGTTTTCTTAGAATAGCCGAGCTAGGGTTGTACGAAGAGGTGTGAACCTTTCCTTTGTCTTTTGCCTCTTCTCAAGTACCTAAGCGATCGGTGCTGAGGCATGCTGGCTTCTTTGACCCTTTGAATTTGAAACTTTTTTCCGAGGCTTATTTTCCACTGTGATAAGGGTGGCATGCTGTGCTCGATGGGCTACATTCTCCTCAAGTCGAATGTAGATCTGTGCCCTAGTATTGAGAGTCTGCATGTCTAGGGGGGAATATTTGACTAGGGAGGTATGGAACTTGGTTCCCTGGATCATGTCGATTTTGAACGTTTCTATAGCAGTCTCAGGCTGACAATTTGTTGTCTCTGAAGCCTCCATGTTAAACCTGGACAGGAAATCCTGTAACGATTCCCCTCTCTTCTGTCTTATAGTGAAGAGACTAGGATGGTCTTCTTCTGTTTCTTGTTTCCGCAATATTGAGTTAGGAACATAGCGCACAAAGCTTCGTAGTTCGGAATGGACTTGTGCGGCCTATTCTTGAACCATTCCAATGCGGCTTCCATTAAACTAGTTGGGAAGACTTTACACATGAACGCATCGTTGTGATTATCTAGAGCTATCTTCTGTGAATAGTGATCGAGATGACGGGAAGGATCCCCTGTGCCATCAAATTAAGTAAAGGAAGGCATGGTAAATTTCTTAGGTCTGTCAACATAGTATATATTATCGGTGAACGAAGTCTTCATTAGAGAGTTCTTATGCTCTCTAACCATCTCGCCAGGCGTCTGAATCCTTAGGAACTTCTTCTCGTCAAAGGTTTCCTGGACGCCAGCGCCATCTGGAATGCCATTGGACCACACCGTGAGCTTACGGCTGGATTCGACCTGTTCAGCTTGCGTGCGATGGGGATGATTGCCCGAAGCGACCGCCCCGGTTCTCATCCTCTGCTCTTTCTGAACCTCGTCAGGCCGAATCTCGTTAAGCCGAACCTCATTGGCTTGAGGTTTGTTACCAGGAGGAATGTTGTGGTTAGGGGGAAGTGCTGCTGCATCATCTGGTGGTGGCTGCAGTGCTATCTGGGCCATAGCTACTCGGAAGGCATCGTTCCTTTGCTGGAGCAACGTAATCTGAACCGTGCTGGCCTCGCTTGCTTAACGAAGCGTCTCGAATTGTTGCAAGAACTCTTCTCGCATCTTTTGCATTAATTCCATCTGTTGATCAACTGCTGCTGCGGATCCTCCGATTGACATTCCAGATCGTAGTAACATAAACAATTTAAATCACTTGTGGGAGTATATTTATATACGTTTCCTACAGACGACGCCAAAGTGCAGGTGCAAAATTTATCTCTATAAAAGAAATTAAAAAAAATAATACAACTCACTCAAGATAAAATAATAAGTAACAAGAATTACTCGGAGAAAAGCATATATTGTTCGATGATCTTTATTGAAGGTCTAGGCCTCTATTTATATACAAAAAGGTGGCGGTATTATAGTAAGACTCGTCTTGCTTGTCCCCCAATTCATTCCATATACATCATTTTTTACAAATAGAGTTCTTTCCTTTTCATAATTTTTTCTATGCCAAACTTTCCTTGCATAGAGTTCTCCTTCTATGCTGAATCGTTTGATTAGCAGGACTGGTCCCATCTTTAACGAATTTGGGCCGAACATAATTCGAACCAATTGATCTTGTTAACAGGCAGGAAGGTCAACATTGGTGGCCTTGGGCTGATGTTGCCTTCACTTGGACTTGAACAGGGTTGGGCTTTTGTAACCCATCAAGAGATTAAAAATAAAACTTTTATTGTGGCTACGTGGATGACTTTTATTGGAGGGGAATTTTTCCTTCCACAGGTATTTTTTTCCCCTCATTTTAAAGTCAAAATTAGAGGGTTCGAGTCTCTCCACTAGCGTAGTGTAAAAGTTATATTCATTGTTTCAAATTAATGTTCAACTTAAATATTTGTAATATAACGATGTCGAGGAGGAGGACAGATTAGATATTGTCGGTGTCGGTGACCATCTTAAATAATAATGTTTATGGATGCTTGCGCAAGGTTGTCCTCATTTTAACTTTTTCAAAAAGAAACTAATCCGGAAAAATCTGGATTTCAATAAGCCAAAAATAGAAGCATGCTATATGCACACCTTTTTTTTTTTTTTTTTTTGGGTTAAAAAATAATATTTCAAAATAATATATTAGAAAAATGTACAGATTGTAGATGTATTTCAATTTACTAAAACTGAGCTATTTAAAAGAAGGGAGAGTATTAAAAAAAAATCAACAAATTAGTCTCTTCAATTTTCCATTTTCTTTATTTTTTCCTTTATTATTTTTATTTTGTATACCATTTAAATTCTTGAGGGAGCGTGATTAATTTTTAATTTTTGTCAATCAATTAGTACCGGAAATGAAATCAAAAAAATTATTTTAAAAATTAATCACGCTCCCTCAAGAATTTAAATGGTATTTCTTCCATATGGTAGAAAACTCATGTATATTTAAACTTCATAAAAACAATACTCCATAAATATCTTTATTGAATTTTTTTGTCGTTTCTTTCCCACATTCCTTAATTCTATTCAAAGCCTCTCAATGACAAACAGGAGAAGATATTGGGATACGAGCCTACTCACTCGTGTACAAAATTTACTACTAGAGCATTTGACCTCATTAAAATACGTTGGTCATTGTGGAAAAGTTATTTATTCTGTTAATTGGAGAAATATTTCGCGTCAAAAATGAATGTGAAAATTAAAAATCTCTTCTTTTTTTTTTTACAATTTAGATTTCAAAAAAAGAGTTTAAATTTTTAAAAATAGAAAAATTTTGTAATTTAGATTTCAGAAAAAGAGGTGAACCAGAGCTTCTAGGCACCAAAATCGTGGGAAAGAATATTTATTTTTGGCATGAAATGTTCCTTCAATCGTGGGAATGAGCAAGAGGAGAGAATAATCTTTTTCGGAAAAAGATGAGAGAGAGAGAATGACATTAAGGTAATTAAAGTATGAAAAAATTATCTTATTTTAAAACGGTGCAATTTTTGAACTTTGGTAAATTTTTCTTATCTCAAAATGATATAGTTTTCAAACTTCTTTAAATTAGGTGACATGGTTCCGCAAGTGCTAGATAGATTTTAATTATGAGAAACTAAAAAAGGCCATCTATTTTAGTAGCAATTATTTGCTTTCATTGGGATCTTGATGAAGAAGAGCATTTCAAGGAGCTGTTGTTTGAGCGGCTTCGTATGTATGGAGAGCGTAACATAGAGCAGGATTTCTGGCTTGTGATTGAACCCAAGTTTTTCTTATTTAACTCTCAACATTTTCGTACTTTAAATCTTAAAAACGAGCCTTTAAAGGTTCGAATTTTTTCTATTTTAACATAGAAACTCCTAACATTTTCATACTTTAAATCTTGAAAATGAGCACTTAAAGGTTCAAATTTTCCTAATTTAACATAGGATTTGGTAAATATACATAATTCTAAGCAATGTATTAAACTTGAACTATCTATAGTAAATTCAATTTAGGATAATTTTAAAAAAATATAACTTAGAAAATACAAGTCCGTGAATGAATACCCTGATTTTCATAGAATATATATTTATTTTAACGAGTCCCTGATTTTCATATTAGGGAAAGGCAAGATTTTCATATAATGAAAGTACAAAATTATTATTTTATAAAATTTGATAAACACATTTCATTGCTACATCTGAAGCGTCATTACCACGTACAGTTCGAGCGCGTGGAAAGGCTTCTCATTTCAAGTTGCCTCATTTCATTAGCTACACCGAGAGAAGAGCGTAGAAATGACTCCACAATCTCCCATCTCTCTCTCTTTCTAAAAACACACACAAAACCAAAATAGAAATTCCCATCTCCCGCTCTCAATTCCCTCCTTCCTCATCTGATTTCGCCCTACACAAGGCCCTAACTTTCTCTCTCTAAAACTCCACACAGAATTCAGCATCCGCCGGTACGAAATCATCCGATTTCTCTCTCTCTCTATAAACTATAGATATACATATATACATATACACACACTCTTTTGGGCAATAGTTCCCTATTACATTTATTTTTGAATGCGTTGTTATTTCTGATCTGATTAAATTTTTCGAATAATTTAATTCTGGATCTTAGATGAGATGGTTGAAACTTGAAAGCCAACTGCTTGAGATATTATTATAATATGTTGCTTTGCATGATTGTTAAAGTATTACTTTATTCGAATCTAACTGTCTTATCGCGTGATTGTCTGACTCTGCACGTTGTTTCGTTTCATTTACGCCTGAATTATATATAAATCTCTGGTATGTATATATATTTATTGATCGTTATTGATATATAGAACAACTGTATTGCGGTCTCTGCGACTAATTTTTCTTGGATCTAGATTTGCTCGAGGCACAAGGTAGGTAGTATCGTTCTTTGCTTGTTGAACTAATCTTCAATTACACAAAGTTTGAGCAGATATTTTGATTAGCAATCACTAATTTTTTGTTAGTTTTGAGTAAGTGTTGTCATGTATTAGCTCTTCAATAAGTTCTAATCTTAAGTCATTTAAATCTTTTGGTTCTAGTGTTTTCTGTGAAATATACTGTAATTTCTCTCCCTCTTGGAAGTGTATCATGCTTGAAACACTCATTTGTGGCGTATTGTTGGTTTTTTATTTTGATTCCATTGTTTTTAATTATAGGCAAAAGTGCAAAAAAACCCCTGAACTATTCACTTTGTTGCAAATCTCCCCCTAAACTACAAAAGTGTGCAAATACCCCCCGAGACTCACCGGATCAGCTTTCCGGCGTCTGTTGATTTGAAATGACTGAAATAACCTTACTTATTAAATAATATAAAGAAGAATAAAAAAGCCTAATTGTGAAATACCAATTTTACCCCACTAATTTGACTGCCAACTCATCAACTGATTCAGATACAGAGTGAAGATGGTCCCAACAGTGTTACCACCAAGAGTCAAAGTCAAGCCACAACGATAGATATAGTATGCTCAACATAGAAGTTGCAGAGAAGCTTTTCACATTAAAAAATTAAAGGAAAACGAATTTAGAAAATTCCTAACCTCACGAAGTTTCACTCTCATTTTCTTTTCTACAATCTGATTTTGCTTTTCTTTCAATTCCAGCCTCTCTAGTTTCCAAGAAAACCCAAGATTTCTATCACTTTCTGGTTCCTCTTTTTCTTTCATCAGACAATTCTCTGCCTTTGCCTTGGAGAACGCGTAATTTAATTTCCCCTTCAACATTGCTTCTTGTTCTTACCATGCCCAAATCAACCCACTTCATATTTCACAATTTATGCATGTGTTATCATCAATTTCCAGAAACCAAGTAAACTCACTCAAGGTTTAAGTTAGTTCTTTGTCTGTCAACTTTTTCATGAATTTCTTGTCTTTAATTGTTATATAACCCACTTCATATTTCACAATTTATGTTGTGTCAGTTTTGTGGGAGAGAGAGAGAGAGTGGTTTTTGTTGTTTGATTTGATTTCTATGTTTGTATTTTAGTATTTTTTTTATCTGGGTTCTTGTGTTTTGAATCTTTTAATCAATTTCATTGTTTAATTGTATTGGGTTTTATGTTTTAGATTCATATTTTTCATGATTACCACTGATCATTGTTTATCAAAGAACATGAAAGGGTTTAGGAGAAAGAAACGTTTAGACTTTGTAAATAATTTGAGTTTGCTCAATTTGGTGGCCTAATCTTCAATTTGTCAATTATAGATTTTCAAATTTGCAGATTATTTGTATGACTTGATGTTCTTACTTCCTATCATTCCAAGCCAGTAGTTGAGATTGTAGTTTTTGATACTTTTCTGCCTCCCCCAAGTGAAACCCTATGGCGCAGTAGGCGAGGCGTTGTTGGTTGTTGGCCCAGTTTGGGTCGCAATTCCGGCAGTCGTCGATGGGGTTTCCGGTGAGGCCATCTCCAATTCATCATCGTTCTTCAACGACCCCATAGTATTTGACGTGTGTGTATATATATTGGATATAAAATTTGTAATTACACAAATATGATGCTTATCGGACTAGATCGTATGATAATTCAAGTTTCCATTAACAAATAGATTCACATAGATGAATCAAAGAATCAGTGTCTATATACTACTGAATCCATATCCTATTTATATATATATATAATTATATATATAGGAAAATACACTATGTGCGGAGTGGGGCCATCAGACATATAATTGTCACAAAATAAATAAATTTATATATGTGTGTGTGTGTGTGTGTGTGTGTTTGTGTGTGTGTGTGTGTGTGTATTAAAAAGGGTAGTTTCGGCATTATCATAATTTCAACAGGCGCGTGACTTTACACATGCCGGAAAAGTTGATCCGGAGTGTCTCAGGGGGGTATTTGCACACTTTTTTAGTTCGGGGGGGAATTTGCAACAAAGTGAATAATTGAGGGGGTTTTTTTTGCACTATTGCCTTAATTATGCTATGCTTGGAAAATGAAATATTTGCTGATGGCAACAAAAACCGAATTATGTGTCAGGTATTTAGATAAACACTTAATCGGAGAGAGAGTCTGTCTTATTATTCAACGTAGTTATTATGTAATCTGTGTTGCAAATGTGAGATTTGCATGATCCGTATGCTTTTCCCGTTAATCCGAAGATATTATCACAGGACTGTGTATGTTGGTGTGGCGCACTCTACTTAAAGTGCCAATAAAGTTAAGCTTCAGATTTTTAATGTTTCATGATTTCATCTAATGAAACCCTTCATTTTGAGCTTAGGGACCAATATGTGTTATCTTGTACACAAATCTGGTGGAAATATTTTTTAGTATCTTTTTTTTTTTTTTTTTTTTTTTTTTACATGAGTTTCAAATTTGAAGGCCCTTCAAAATAATGCCGGCAACACTTATCATGCTTTAATTAAAGCAACTTTTTTCTTGTAAAAAAAAATTAAAAAATAGAACATCTTCGCATATTATTTACAAGTTAAGTGTGTTGAAGTGATTTATTACATTTTGGACTAAGCCCTTGGTGGTTTTGCTGTAAATTCCTTGTAGGTGTAAAATATTTGTTCTAGTTAATTGGTAAATGTTGCATATGGAGTTATGGACTACTGTAACGGGTGAGCGCTTACTTATTTACCCAAAAGCTCAAGCTGTTGGGTAGTGCTACATACTCACCCATTTATACCCAATCACTTTCCTACCCGGATTCGATGTGGGATTAATGACCTTGTTACATTCTCCCCCACCCAAACTTGTAACACCCTTGTTGCGGTTCGGGCCACCCTGCCTACGGGCTACAAACCCGGACGCCCTCCCGGCCAGACGCTTGGCGTGACACCGGATCAAGGATTAGGTCTGGCTCTAATACCAACTGTAACGGATCGGTCCTTGCCCATTTACCCAAAAGCCCAAGTTGTTGGGTAGTTCTGCATACCCACCCATTTATACCCAATAACCTTCCCATCCGGATTTGATATGGACAAATGGTTGTTACAACTACCTTTTTGCCTCGGTACTCTATTCCTTCATCATGGTTGAGAATTTTAATAATTGAAGTAGGGAGGAACCCAATGCAACAACAATCATACTTATCATTTCCTGCTAAATTCAGTATGAATGTTACTTGGTTTTTGTTTCATTTTCGCGTGTGTCTGCATTGGTAGGTCCATTCCTTTATGATTTGTTGGGTTGATCCTGGCAGATTTGTTTCTTAATTTTCTGAATCAATCCACCCATGTAGTTGTATAAACTTTTCAACAATGAGTTTCAGGTGTAGTTTGGAAATGGCGAAAGGTACCAGGGGACGCCGCAGGATCGCTTCACGACAGTGCAGACCGGCCCCTTACTCATTGCAATCTGAGGGCATCCACTCAAAGAAATGCTCCAATGTCTTGCATAAAAAAGATTGGGAAGATGCGACATGTGCTGTATGTATGGAGTGTCCTCATAATGCTGTTCTTCTGTTATGTTCCTCTCATGACAAAGGTTGCCGTCCCTACATGTGTAGCACCAGCTTGCGTTACTCCAACTGTCTCGATCAGTACAAGAAAGCCTACACTAAAGTTAAATCATGCCATCATGGGCAACCTTTGCATGGCTCAGTTTCTAGTTGGCCCATTGAGAAATGTGAAATAACGGAACTTGCATGCCCACTTTGCAGGGGGCAAGTGAAAGGGTGGACTGTGGTGGAACCTGCACGGGTGTATTTAAATGCTAAGAAGAGGAGCTGCACGCAGGATCATTGCTCATTCATTGGAACTTACAAGGAGCTGCGGAAACATGTGAGGGCGGAGCACCCTTCTGCAAGGCCGCGGGAAGTGGATCCTATTCTCGAACAGAATTGGAGAAGTTTCGAGCGCGAGCAAGAACAGAACGATGTGATCAGTACTATAATGTCAACTATGCCGGGAGCAATGGTTTTGGGTGATTATGTGATAGAAGGAAATCATTTTAGTTCTGATACAGACGAAGATGAAACTTTTGATGCAGATGCCCCTGAGAGTAACGGGGGGTTTGAAGCGGGAATCGATAGCAATTTGGTCAATTTCTTTCTTTTGTTGCATGCATTTGGGCCAACAAGAAATGTTGGCAGAAATAGAGGGACGAGGAGGCATGAGGGGAACTCTGGCCGCACATCGCATGAAGGTGGTGTTGGATTTCTATCCTCCGATCAAGACAGTGACAATGATGATGACAATGATGGTGGTAGCGGTGACAATGATGGTGGTATACCGTTTAGCCATTTTCCCCGCCAGCGCAGAATAGTGTCAGCGAGGAGAAGTCGAAGATAAATATCTTAATGATGGTGGAAACTGGGAAAAGTTAGTTTTGGGTAGGAAGAATATGGAATTTATTTTCAACATTCGTTTCACAGTTGCGTCTCATTTCTCTCCTGGTTGTTGAAATGGAATACCAGAAAATGAAGGTGGAAAAGAAAGTTGCTTTTGTGCAACTTTTAGTAGTGTAAATATTCATTCCTTCTTTACTTGCCAAAAAATAAATTAACACACCTGTACCATATTGTGTTTAAAAGTAAATTTTCATTATTCCTGTACCATATTTTGTTTAAATGGCAAAAGGTACTGTATATACATGCTATTGCTGGTGCAAATATGTTTGTGGAATGATACTCTGACTTGCTATTGTATGTGTGAGATTAGTAAGTTCTGTTCGAAGTTTAATTGAAGATAAATACATTTTGAGATCTTGAATTTAGGTATATAATGCTCATCGAAGTATTTTTTTTTTTGTACAGTTGGTGATTTTTGTCATGAATTTAGATTGTGTTTTGTAATGGTAACAAAAATTCAATATGCTCCAATTGTTACATTTTGGTTCAGTTTTTTAAAAAATAATTTACTCATATATTTTTGACAAGTTTATTTTACATGCACAATCCGATTCAATTTCTATCCTCCAACTCAGACAGGCGACCTCGCCTTCGCTTCTCTCTCCACCGTAAAATCCTCCTCTCTATGCACTCAGACCATAACTAATCAACACCTTAAACACTCTTGTGTACCAAATATTTTTCGAGGAAAATATTATACGAAACAAAACGGAAGTATGCTTTCAAATATAAAAACAAGCTACTTATCAAAATATATATATAAATAAGCCAATCTTAAGTCATTATCATTGGAGGTTATATTTCAAAAAGTTGACACCTTTCCAAAGTATATCGTTGTGGTATTAGTAGCAACAAGTTTGCAACACTTTTAAGACATGGTCAGATAGTTTTATACGGAGTAATTGTTATTATAAAAAATGCAATTCTGAAGCAATTTTTAAAATATATAATGCATCACTTAAGAAAATAATATAAAAACAAAAATAACAAGACCTAACTCTTATATCTAAATTAGTGATTTCATTCACGGTGATATGAATAAAACTAGTAAAATTTATTAATATAGACATTATATTATTAGTCTTTAAAGTATTTCTATTGTATTAATGAAAACATATACAATACCCCAAGGCTAACAAACCCCATAGTACCATATTCGTACTTCCTAGGATATGCTCCCATGGCTCCAAATTTGCATTCTTAAAACTTTTGAAGGTGCTACATCCAATTGTTGGTTAAAAAAACAGAAACCATATTATTACTCCATCCTATAAATTTTATATATGTGGAAAAAATATTATGTACCCTAAATTATCCTGAAATTTTCAGAAAATCATTATTAATAAACAATACATATTTTTAATTTTTTGAAAGACATTGACTACATTATATCAAAGTGAGACTTGTAATAAAACAAAAACAAAAATTAAACTACACTATATGCTTCTTGAGTTGATGAGACAAATTGGAGTTCTACTTCTCCAAGTTTTTTTGAAAGCTCAATGCAACCCTAAACAATATGGAGATAGACTCATTTGCTGCACCAAAAAAAAATTTATTTTTGGTTTGGTTGATCTTTTTTTTTTTTTTTTTTTTTTTTTTTTTTTTTTTTGACAAGTCATCACCCATGATCCCGTCCAGGTAAGTTTTTTGTTTGGTTGATAACATAGAAGAAAATCAAAACATGTAAAAAAAATGATTTACTAATTCTCTTGTTTTAATTGGTAGAAGGAAAACAGAAAATCAATAGCAAAAGAGTAGAAAATCAAAAGTGTTTGAACTATTTTAAGTCCATGTTCCAATTACTCTTTCACTTTTTCAACTCTCCATGACAACAATGATAGTAAGGTTTATTGTCTACTTTTTTAGCAAATAAAATTCGAATCACATCGCCATAAACAAAATTTTTATATGAAATTTCTTTTACCATAAACATTTCCATCTCTCGTTAGTAAATGGGATCACATTCTGAACCAAAAATTGAAGACTTGAAACAAAAACAAACAGTTCAATATTAAAATAACTGACAGGAATCAACATGACAAAGGCAACCCCATACAGTAGCATATTATCAGAGTATGAATGGCTTACAATTCTTGAAAGATGATACGTAAACAATATAAGATTTGATTATCAGAGTAATTAGTTGACAGTCAATTTCAATCTATAAACAAACAGATAAACAAAATACACTATATACTCTTGAATTGAATATACAATTAGCTCAGTGTATGATACAGAATCAACGAACTGCTAATCACAATACATTATATACTCCTGAATCGAATATACGAAAGGCCGTATGACTTCAAGCTCAATGTATGATAAATTAGCGGAGCATCTACACTATAGTGATGTGAGGAGCAAATGTTACAATTTGGATGTAATTACTAGGTTTTACAAGTAAAAAAGGGGGTGTATGATAAATCTCACTCACTGTGGTTGCACTGTGCAGTCCAGCTTTTGGTTACTAGGAATATGTGACCCTAGTGAAGATTTTCTTACAAATAAATCTTGTCAGATTCGTATCAAATTCATAAAATGCTATAAATCTTTCTTTTTCTGTATACCTGTTGGGATGCCGTAACATACAGGTGATGCCCCAGTCAAAAAAGGGAGTGTGCAAGCTTCTCGAGCTTGAAACATGAATGAACCTATTTTTGGTCTGTGGCTACAACAATCATTACATGTATTGATTATATCACAATATTCAAGTAATTTCTTTCTTGAGGTTTTCTTCTGAGCATTTCCTTTAGTTCTACTTATATGCATGGACTTAAATTCTTTTGCAAGTAAATTGCACCGAGGACAATCTAGAGAAGCGGATGCTCTTTCTCTAACGCAGCCATCAAGCATGGCCTTAGCAAATCGGTCAATATCCTTGTCTGTCACTTCCCATAAATTAGCGACAATAACAGGAGAACCTGCTAAAAGATAGTAGAGAGGTGCACCTTGTGGAGTATAACACCCATTTAATGATAGCGATCCACTACTGCACCCCATTAAGAGAGTAGCAGCACAATTTTCAACTTTTTGAATCTCATGCCCGGGAATATACTGTGCCCCTGAATAATCACATATAGACAACTCAGTCATCAATACCAGGAAAAACTTGTACTGTGTTGATATGAATATCACAGAGATGAGAGCAATGCACTGAACGATTTTGGAGAACATACCACTTCCATGCCCAAAATAAATAAAAAGGTCATGGCTTTTCAAGGCTACCGCCAATTCTTCAACAGTAGGTGCAGTTCCAGCCTTCCCCTGTCCAACAAAAATATTACGTTAGAAGAAATAATTTTAATGCAGATGCTGATATGCAACACCATCCATTGTCCCATGAGATGACCAAAAGGGGAACATGCCTAGATACATAGATCCAACGATGTACAAATATATGCTTGAAAACACATTTCAATAGTCCATGAATAGAGAACAACATTTATTCTAAGTTCCTTGTTTTATTCTCCTGTTTTCTGACTGAAAATCAATATCTGGAATTTACCTCCAAGTTTTGATCTTTAAACCACTTCTCAAATTCAACCTGAGTGCTAGAAAGATCCCCGCTGGGGTTCAACAAATAAAATGCATCCAAGGGATCTATCAGTGGAAAGACGACAGCATTTCTCCCAACTTGTTCCTTACGGTGAAGGCACCTATCAAGTGTTGCAGAGATGCAGCCAACAGAAGGCATGCGATAAACCTCCTGGCTTCTTAAAAGTGGCAAATTCTCCCATGGAAGCATCTGTACATAATCATCAGTCAGCCAGCTAGTTAAAAACAGCACAAGCTTAAAGAGAAAAATAAGAACGAGGAAATTCACTTTCTTAATTCCAATAAAAGCCTATACCATTTCGGATTGGCCAATCGGCAAAACATGTTAGATTTTTGGATGCTACATTCAGCATTAACTAATTCTAGCATTTCTACAAGGAAAAAAAAAAAGAAAGAAAGAAAAAAAAAACTGCACATTCTTTGAAGTGGTCGAATTCCAGAGATTTTATGGGTAGTAAAACATACTTATTTACAAACTTCCATAGACTTCACCAGTTGCTAATCTTTACAAGATAACACAAACCTCAGAATCAGTAATTATACATAAGAGAAAACAGAAACTCTTTGATCCCCAACCTCAAAACGCCTTAAACCTAGAGCATAAATTTCAATGCCATAACCATCTATAACACCATAAGATTAAACTAATAAGTAGACAATTTAAATCTTCAAATGCAACCAAAAAAAAAAAGAACGAACAACTCATAGGCCCACCTATTTACCCACAAAAAAATAAAATAAAATAATACTAAATTTTTTAAAAAAAATCAAAGACTCACCTGCACCTCAGAATCCAGCACCAGTATTACTGGCTCTCTATCTTCACACACTTCAACCTCATTGGCCGCTTCAAATATTCGTTTGAAGATCATGTGCGATTGACTTTCAACTCCATCATGCACACGAGATGATGTCCCACACCTTCCTCGCTCATATCCCACCCCAACATAGCATCCTTGGTTCAAAATTAGCTGTAAAACACATTCTTCGTTTTCACAGGTATACTTTGCACCTTCAAGGATGACCTTAAGAAGACTATCTTGTACATCCATTTTATATTTATATTTCAGATCATGCACCAGTTTCTTTTGTACTGAATCCAGGTGTCTGCACTCTGACCATTCCCCTAAAAGCAAGAACTTCCAGGGGCCAAACCATGTATCCTCCAAAACCCTGAAGAAAGGTGTAAGGATATGACAGGAGGGCATTCAACATAATAATTAATTTTAAACAGTGTAGAGATGATTTCATAATTTAGGATTTTATCAAGAACAAAAACAACAGGATCTGTGTGTAGCAAGAGCCACTAGTCCTAATTGCATGCTAATGAGTCTATTGATGTCCAAAAACAAAGAAAGCTATAAATAGGATTATTTTGGGAGAGGGGACCTACCTCAGAAATTTACCAAGACGTTGATCAAGCCTCTTTCTCCACATCCACCATAATGACCTATTCTTTTTCGAATCTTCCAAAAAAGAAGTTGATGACGATGAGTAATTTTCCTCCAATATAAGTCTAAACCCCGGGGCTATATCATCAACAACAGTGGAGCCCCAAGGACAGTGCCACTGCTTCTCAAAATGTTTGCCCTCAAAGAGGTTCGAAGAGTCAGAATTTCCGTCCTCATCTGAAGCTTCTGATGGCATTATACAATAAATATCAGTATCTTTTAACTTATACACATGAGCACTATTGCATTTATAAATGTTGCATATCAACAAAGCTCCATATACTAATATAAAAGCAAATTACCTTCTAAAACTGAATCCACAGGCAGAAGTATAACAACAGGTTGACTGCTTGAATTCAAGCGAGATAATAAAATCCATGCATGGACGGAGGAGGAAGGATAAAATAGCAATTCTCTCAATAAATTGGTATAAGCACCTCCAAGCAAACTAATACAAATGACTGTGCTACAAGGAAGACCCTTAAAAAAATTTAAAACAGATCCTTCAAGTTCTTCAAGCGATTCAGGTGCAAGCCTGCAGGAGGAGGGGAAAATGGGGGAAACTCAATTAGCTAAACTGTGATCTGAACCAGATTTCACTTCATTTAAGAACAAGTGCAGCCAAAACCTGAGTGAGTTATGGATATCTGAATTGATCGAAGAGCCACGAAGACAAGAACCCTGAAAATTGTAAAAAATTAACAATGAAATAAATAAGTAACAATACCATGAAGTAAGAGCACGAAAAAGAAGAGAAAAAAAAAAGGAGTATGGACAAAGAGCTATGTAATAATTTTTAAAGACATGGTATGTGCTTCTCATTTGCTGGTATAAAGTAAGATATGATGCCTCTTCAAAGAAAAGGAGATAATGAAGAAGAAAGTAGAAACAAAATTAGAGAGTCTTTTCAACATGTCAATCTAATTCTGCACAATAAGTGGCATAAGAGTTCAAAATTGTATTCATTAGCTTCTAAATTTGCAAACAGGAAGCTAACGCAGAAACAGGAAAGGGTTGGTGTATACAAAATTATTGTTACAAACATATCCAAAAGAACAGGGGACAATATCTTATCAGGTTTGTTTTCCTCCTGCTTCTACTTCTACCCAGAACAGAACAAGGAGAAGAAGGCGAGCAATTACATCTTTGATGGGGAAGGATGCCTATTAAACAGTTCGAGGTCACTAAATTTAGGATCTCTGGGATACTTGCAACACTTTTATTCAACCTCCCAGAGCATATGCCTTCCATATAATTCTTTACAGTGCATGTTTTCTTCTATATCATTCAATAAATATAACCTAGGTTTTCTAGAGGGGATAACTAAAGACAAGGGCAGATCTAATAATAAGACTGAAGGCCACAGAGTAAAAACCCATGTGAATAAAGAGATATGATCATGGGAACAAAGCTCCACAAACTTTTGCAAAGACACAATAATAAACTGACTGAAGTCTCCAGGAAAGCAGAGCCGTGTTTAACTTCTAGCCATCAAAGAAAATAATAACTTTGATTGCATGTAGCATGTGTTACACTCGTGAAAAACTGTAATAGTTTTCAGAGAGAAAAAAAAAGATAACAAGTTATTCTCAAATCTCAATTCACAGGAGGCAAGAAACACACACACCCACATGCCCCTATGGGGACTTGAACCCTCGACCTCCCACTTTGGGAGGTAGAGGAGGTACCACTAGGCTACACCACCTTTGGTAAATGCATGAACTACACACTTCATAGATACCGCCTTCACTCCTAATAAGCATCAAAGAAAAAGATACAAACAAAAACAAAAGGTGTTTAAAATAAAAGAACAGAATTCATATATTAAGCACCAAAATAAAATGGTGGGGCTAAAGAGAAGGGAACTAAAGGTGCAAGAACTTAATGCCTTGTAAGACACTATATAACTAGAATTAAGCCCAAATACATACCTCAACTCTATGCTTCCCAATAATATTTGAGCAGAGCTGGTGATTATGATGGGTACCAAGTGAAGCTTGATGAAAATATGAAGCCCAGTGACTCACGGAGAGTGCTTTGGAAGTAGATGAAGACAGAGAAAAAGGTTCACATGAGGAAGAAAGTATGTACAGAGTAGCCAGCAACCTGGATACCTGTTGCATTATTATTAAGGACCAAAAAGTCAATCACCACAATAACATAAAACTTAAAAGCAAACCATATGGCAGATGAGAAAAAGAATTGCATAAACATTAACGCAACTGAGTTACAACTAGTATTTATTGCAATGCATGAATTCTTGGGCATGAGATAATTAGGATTTGGAAAGGATTCGTATAATCTAATTAATTACATCCTGCTATGTAAGAACTGAGGCCGAATTCTGAGTTGAATGCAATCTTCTCGGACAAGCGTATAACATCTTAACACCATCCAAGATCAATGCAAAGCTTGGATAAAGGACAGATTGCAACTAAATCCAATATAAATTGATGTTTTCCAATGTTTAAAGACCTCTGAAAATGGTTTCAGCAGTATATTATGAAAATGATAAGGTTGCTCCATTGTTACCCAGAGGTCAGGGATTTGAAACAGCAAAAAGTCTCTTCACACGCGGAGGTAAGGCAGCATACATTGGACTCTCCCCATACCCCGCATTGGTGGGAGCCCCGTGCACTGAGCCCACCCTTGGCCATTATTTTAAAGATTATATAATACTTATTAAAAAGCTTTATTTTTTTACCATCACCCACAAAACCTAGACTCTACCTGCCTACCAAATATGTAAATATATACTACTACTTATTTATTTTAGAGCCAAGTTCACATCAAATCAACAATTGGGCTCAAAGTGACTAAGACTTGAAACAAAATATATACCGAGCCACAAGCACCACTAAAAATTGCCGTCAAGCCACAGCGCAACCACCATGGACAATTTTTTCAAAAATATTATGCAGATTAGTGTAACTGCCAAAACAATCCGAATAATTACATTAAACAGCAGGATCTTACAAAATGTGGTTGTCAAGACAAGTATGCAAGTCTAGATCCTAAAAATGAGAGAATCAAAAAGGACAAGCAGTAGGAGGCCAAGAATTTATAGTAGTCTGCTCATTCATTTGCTTTACCACAGGCCTACACAACCACGGATTTTAATGCGCTTCCTTTGAGCATTGTTTAAAGATAAGAGAGGAATTAACTCCTCTCCTGTAGCAATTAAGTATTGCCCATAAAGATTAAATCCCCTCCCCACCACCCTCTTCAAATGAGAGAACCAAATATAAGTCTGATAGGTGCGCATTACACCATAAACTTCTTTAAAAGGAGAGTTTGTATATTTCTAAGTCTGCTAATGAAGATGGGACAACTGTACGACAGATGGGCTTATCCCACAATATCTTGCACAGGTGATCCCTGTCCTCCTTGAGGATAAAGAAATTGATGGTAGTTGTGAATCTGATTATGGATTTATTTGACTAGCTTTCCTCTTGTTTATTAAAAAATATTTTGTTCCCTCACCATTTTTACCCTATTCAATAAATTTTAATTTCCTTTCATCATCACCAATGTTGATAACAACAACAACAATGAAAACAAAAATAAAGCACGGTTTGACCTTTTGGAAAAGTATAGGAACCTCACGGCAGAGTACGAAAGAAAGCATCAACCAGGAAACAATTCTTTGTATCTGAATGTTTGACAAGTCACAGCAATTGATCCTGTTAAACATAATGAACGAAAATTGAAAGGAACATGAAATTAGTCAAACCAAAGGCAGCTGTGAAGCACCAATAAAACTAATTAAATCTGGAAAAAAGAATACAACAACACTCCCTCAAAAATGTGTGCACGTCAATGTCTAAAGTAAATAGATTGCAGTCCTTGGATTGATCTCCAAATAATGGTTAGATAACATACTTCTGAAAAGTTTTTGGACCAAAGCAGTGTCGATTTTTCATTCAACCAATCCCTTAGCAAAAGTTGTGCATCTTTGTTAAAAAGTAACATCTTGTTCATTTAGCAACAACTTCAACAAATGTATAAAGCCAAACAGAACCAAGTTTGCAAAGGGATTGTCTTCCTTAATTTAAAGATCAATGTTCATTAGGTTGCCGTATTAGTTTTATTTAAAAAAATAAAAATAAAAAATGACCAAGGTGATTCACTGAACCAAGTTTTAAGGAGGTTAAAGTAACTTAGTTTGCCTTCCAAAAATTAAATGTCAATGTTCATTGAGATGTCTTATTAGTTTTAATACATAAAATATAAAATCAAGGCAGAAAACCTCATAAACATCACTTTCACAGGAATCAGCATCAAAAGCTAATTAGTTAACATTTGAATTTCCATTTTCCAACAAATTAGTTGACATTTGAATATTTAAAAAATATCGTGTTGCTTTAAGCATGGTACCAGATTGAACTGCATGAGATAACTCAAATATTTGAGACAGCTGTATACACATTGTACAAAACAGAGACGCAGACAGATATTTACATGCTTTCAAAGCACACCTGGTTCGTTGGCATGGATAGCTTTTCACTGTAAGCCAACTGATATTATAAAGTATCACTGCATGTTGAACTGTAAATGCATCTCCTGGGATATCCTTCCCAATTAAGTCGAGCAAGAAAGTGAATGGAACAGAAGAGTTTATAGGACAAAATGGATTCCTGCTGACCAGGGTAGATATGCCTTGCATAAGTATTTCATGTGCTTCATGAATTTCACCACGAATCCCCAAGCATTTGCCTGCCCACACAAAATCATAAGGAAAAAAGCAAGAGGGTGTGACACTATATTATGGATTTCAAAATTCAGCCCTAGCTACAATTAATGGCAGCCATATTGCAGTCTGCCACCCTTTAAGTCAATGATTAACATTGCTTGCCCTTCAGTCTAAACTGATTATGGAAGGGAAAATTTTCTCACCAATAAATCAACAAAACAAAGGAAACGCACATATGCATTGATGAAAAGTGATGACCAGATCATCCTTTAATTGAACACATATTGGTTATTTGGTTATAGCTCTAGCATAATTTCAGTGTGTTCAACTTCGGTGTAATGTTAAATTTTCACTATATGAACAACCACATAGCTGTTTTGCTTACCATCTACTGCATGCTTTAATACCTTGTGAAATAGGGCTGTCAATGACACACAACACTCTCTCTCTCTCTCTGTGTTTGAGTGAGTGAGTGAGAGAGAGAGAAGGTTTCAACTACAAAAAAATAGTTGAAAAAATTTAATAGATGCATAAGTCTACAAATACAATCAGACTTTGTTGTTCAAGGAAAAGGGGTACGAACATTTCAACAATTATAGCGAGAGCCATATCCCTACATTTAAAGTGAAACGTCATCTTATGCATGTACACAATGTCCTCTAAAAGAATACATGATATAATTTTAATTAATGACAAAAAGATTGAAATGCATTATAAAAACAAAAAAGAGTGTATAAAAAGAAAATCATATTAAGAAGTCATCTTCATGGTCTCTTATGGGGAGTGAGAATAAGAACAAGTTATGGATCAATATTCTATAAGTCAAGTTAAAAAACATAAATGTAGACAAACTAAAAGGGCAAGAAATAGTATAATTAATGCCACCATATTTTAACTATCATTATTTAATCTTTCTTTTACTTCTTCCTGATTTTTTTACTTCACTTATTTTCAGTATTTATAGAGTATGTAACATGCAATTGAGATGAATAATGTGTACAATGATATTCTAGAAATACCTATGCTGGTGAGTAGCCTCAGAGTTAGTTGCCTGCGAATAAACTCCCATTTTATATGAATAAGACTGTTTATCGACCCAGATTCAATAACTTCCCTGGGAAAACAATACCAACACTTCAATTTATTGCAAACGCATGTGAGTTCACCTCCGCAGTTGGTCGTGGAACATTTAATTTCTGAGAGTGGCCCTCTCTGCCTAAGAGCATCAGGGCAACCAAATATGTGTTCACTGTCTAAATGCTTAGTAAGGCCAGTTTGTACTTTATCGGGAATACTTTCACTATTTTCCTGAGAAGAACGATATCTGGACCGAGTCATCCTTGAATTATGCTCTGATATCAAGCATTGCTCCTGTGGAAAAGGCTTTGGTGCTCTCTTAGTCTTCCTACACTTTTTGGTTTCCATGTCTATTTCTGGCCCTTCACCTATAGTAGGAAAGGCACCAATATCTGACTGGTTTATCCTATGAGAGAAAGAATTATTAACACCATGCCTGACCTCCTTGACTAAAGCATCAAGAGTTGCAGTACTCCCAGTGTTTGTCTCCTCAGGATTACTAACAGAGTTTTTCCACTCAGAGATATTTAGCTTCTCCAATGCTGATTTGTACAAATTTTCAGAATCATACAATTTCCTTAGAAAAGGATCGCATGTATCACTATCGAACTGGCTTCTAAATAAGTCTCCAAGTTCCTGATCAATATTAACTTCCAGGACCACCCTGCACTTCAAACAAGAAATGCCAGTGCAGCTATCTGCCAATATTTGCTTGGCAGTTTGAAGTTCCTTATCTGCCAACTCCCAAAGCTTTTGCTTGCGGTATAATCTTCCTGAAAAAGTTTAGATGCAGACAATAAGTTGGCCGGTTACAAATTCTTCCCAACCAAGTAGAGCGCGAATGACACAGACCGGACAAGAGAAGAGAGAGAAGAAAAAAGAATTTGAATTATTTACCTAGAACAGAAGAAAAGGCAACTATGAGAAACGGCAACCCTTGATAACATGAGATATCCTTCCCCCACAATAAAAAAGCTTCAGCCTCAGATCCATTTCCAATCATCTCATGGATAATTCCAACCTGTTTTACATGAGTGATTAAAATACCAATTTACAGTACAATAGCAACTAAGGAGTTGGTAGAACACACTGAATTCATGCTCGAATTCTGAATTAAAATATTTGAGGCAGAGACAACTCAAACCTGTAAAGTGCTTTCAAGATAGCACTGAAGTACATTCCATGGAGTAAGAATTGAAGCTTCCAAATCGAATGAACTATTACTATTGGACCAAATCGCTGTAGCCACTGAACTATACAAGTGGAAAGTACTAAGACTGTAACGAGGCTTTTGAATGGTGTATCCATTGTTATTCTGCTGCTCCCCAGAGAACATAAATTTTTCTTTGAGAAGTTGGCTACGTAAACGATGGGCTTCTTTTGCACATGAAAGAGCCTACAGATCGAGTTGGAAGAACTCATTAGAGGAGGTTATCGATGACCAACAAAAAGACACATCTTTTTAGTACAATCATTTAAAAGAGAAAAAAATAGTAAGCCAGAATCGGTGAGAACTCTACCTGTTCAATGATTTACAACGACATATAGTAAAATCATTAGACTTACATCCCCATGTATTTTTTCAAGCCACTGTATTTATAAATCCAAGATAAAAACAATTCAGAGGGGGGGTGAGGAGGCCGCAGAGATTAATAACAGATGACAAAATTTTGGTTAAGAATTTTTATACCACTGACGAAGGAAATTAAAAATATACTCCCTTAAACGCGTACATATTTAAACAGCAAAAAGTACACTCAGAGCAAGAAGAGGAAAAAATAGTAATTCCATTGAGGAAACACTACAGCGTGAGTAACAAGTCAGCATGGATGAGATTTGTGTTGGCTGAGCACTGCCAAACTAGGGCCAACAGGAAAAATGAAGTTAAACTTGCAAGGCTGCTATAGATGTGTATCCATGCAGAGCTTAGAAACTTCATAATTGATTCGTATCGTTTCTCTTAGCCACAGTAGTGAATATGTCTGGTAAATGCAGCATTCTCAAAATATGATTAAAATTTTAGAGATACCTATTGATCATCAGAATTGCAATTAATTATTATATAAATATTATTGAAGATAAAACATACAACAGAATGCATGATGATCAAAACTCAGTCATAATATAATACCAATAAAATAAAGCAGGATGCTTAAATTCTGTATTCCAGTTTATTGAATGAAGACTACTCTTAGAATCTATTATAAAGTTTGTAATTGACGATACATATCAAAGTGAGGCGGTCTTTTAACATTAAATTTTATAAGTCATATTTTCTGTAAAATTATTTAGTTTTGATACAAGACTTGAAGAATATAGCATATATTTTAAAAAGTTGAAACAATATTGATCTTTAGATGATCCATTTGCCAGTCACTAATATCTATTGGATAAGTTACCCACTACTGCCATCTTGCTCCCTTGCTTCAAGAGGCACAAAGACAAAAGAAAAATAAAATAAATAAGATTGCAAAGGTTATCCAAAACTACTAAGCAATCCTATATAGGCTGACGCAGACACAAAACTTCAACTTTTTATGACGTTATAGGAACCATGGTTCGCCGAATCGGCTGGTTCGGAACAGAAAATCAAAGAGCTGATACCGAGACTCACTAATATATCAGCATGCCCCGAGACTCACAGACGAACTGGCCGGTTCACAAAGAACTGGCCGATTCGTTATGGTCGAGAACCGGCCAGTTCTCTCTTAGGGCCTGCCGGTTCAACATGAATGAAAAAAAATTACTGTAAGATCCATTTTTGACAAGCATAAGTTAACTTCTCATGTATGGTTTTATACTACTCCTTACCCACATCTCCTTAATTCAATTCCGATGTGGGACACATATGTGTTAAGTCTTAGTTTCCCTCTCATCTATTACTTTTATATAGCTCCTTTGCCCACTTCTCCTTGATTCATTTCCGACGTGGGAATGATGCCTACCTTATAATCACACTGTTCTTATGTATATATCGGTCAATGGTATGATGATTAGGATCCAATCTGTTGGGATGGGACTCTATTTAGTGGTTTGGCGACGTATATGGGAAAGAATGTTTAATGAGGCTTATCTTATTCTCAATTCTAAGTCTTAATTCTCTGAATCTCTAGGCATCCATGCATTGTTTTAAATACTATTCAATGTGGCATTATTTTTCAACACATAATATGTGGAATGAATTTTTCATAATTACTTGGTTTTTGTTTATTAATTTCGTAAAAAATATAACTAATAAACATTGTTGATAACGATGTTAACTTGGAATTCATGAATTAGTTTATTATTTTATTATATGATCTTTAAAAAATCAACAAAATTCACAAAAATTTCATCATTATTGAATTATGGTGTAAAGAGTTGTGCATCAAAATATGTTCTGCCCTATGTGCAAGGTCAAAAAAAAATTCACGACTGCGAAAACCGATTCCATTAATAAAATTGATACAAGGCCAATTCCGTTACACAGCGACTGCAAAGTGCAAACCTTGATTAGAACAAATGCAATAAATACATGGCAAATATAAAACTAGTTGTTAAACACAACCATATAGATTATTGAACAGCTAATATGTCAACCATTGTCTCTTTAGCTTCCTCCATTTCATACGATTTCAACTCTACACGAATCACAACTTCAAGTCCCCAAATAGACCCCTTCTTATTCTATTAGAAATAATAATTTCAGTACTTTTTACTGGAGAAGCTTTACAGAGTTTTCGATTGGAAAGTTGGTGATGACAATGACACCACCGTGGTTACTACAAACGAGTGTGACCAAGAGCTATTGCCCTGACAGGAGCAATTTCAATTCAATTGCATGAATGAGGATGTTGCAAGTGTAACTTCCAACCAACTGGAACTTACTGAAAAAATCTTGAATTAGGATCATTGCTTGGTGCAGTGATAAAAGCTCAGACTGAGAGCAGCCCTATGAACAAAAAATATTCCAAGTGTTAGATCTTCCTCATGTTTTCACCTCCCATCACCCTCATAAACAGGAGGAATACTGGGTAATGACCTTAAATTTAGTTGGTAAGGAGCAAAAGGCCAAGGGAGAAAATAAAGAAGTTTTATTTGACCGTGATTTGACAAAAATAAAGGTAAATAAGGCCTCAAGAAAAAGGTATATAAAATGCAGTTTTGTGCTATCCATGTCAGCAATGCCAGCTAAATACCCAAGCCAACCTAAACATCAACTACTAAGAGGCTGCATCAGCCATCGAAGGCTCCAAATAAGAGTTCCATTTCATTAGTTTTCAAAGTACATATTTGATATTATGGATGAAACACTTAGCCGTTTCCAATTAATGTGATATTGAGGATACACAACATGCATTAATCCAACTGTAGATCAAACAAAAACAAGACAAGATATAATTGCTTCTCATTATTTCAGTATATTCTTCATTTTGGGACATAATATTCCAAAAAACAAGGGACTCATTTATCTCATGATATTTGCGAACTGATAGGGAGTATTTCAGAAAATGGAGAGTTGAAAAACAAAATTCAAAGGAAAAGAAGGACATTAACATACCATGTAAGGATGAAACGTAATCCACTCTCTTCATGGTATAAAATATTTTGAATCCAAGCCTTAGAATTTCTCTTGAAATGAAATTTATTGGAGACCCAACTTGGTACTAAAAAAATATGGAAGCAAAATTATTGTAAGTTACCTCCATCAATCGGCCATTTGAAGTCAGTCTTCCGCACAAGTCATAGTAGAGATGTGCAGCAACAAAAACTGAACCAGTAGGCTGGGGAACCTAAAGGAAAGAAAACACTAGATTAACAGATGTAACAGAACTTTTCTGGAAGGATATAGGGCAAAAGATTTCACAGTGGTTGTAAAAAAAAAATCTTACAGTGGAAATAAGACCCAAAGCAGCCTGCTTGACTTCCTCAACCGTGGTATCTGATCGGAAAGAACTCTCGTGGTTATAAGAACCTTGGGAGAAGATAGTAAACATAAAAGAGAAGTTCTGTTGAAACCCCATTTGTAACGGCCATGATCCCTTCATGCAACTTATCCAGAAATCAATAGACTTAGAAAGTTCACCACAATGCTGTGATAAAATCAAGATGAATGCCTCGTTTACAGGTGAAGCACAAAGGGCATGGCCAAGCCTTCTGTACTCCCACAACGTGGCCAAACACTTCTCTAGTGGTACATTCTTCCATTTAAACAATCTGATTATCAGCTCGTATATGTCAGAGTGGAATTCTGTGAAGCCCTGGAATTACATAAGCAAGAGAAAATAATGAGGCAATAAAATCACAAACATGCCAAAGCCTCCATATTCAACACTCCAGCAAATTCTACAGTTACAATAAGTTCATAGCGCTTACCTTCATTGATAACAAATCAACAACATGATACAACAAAGTCAACATATTTTCAGACGCAATATTACAGTGGTCATCTGCATTGCAATGATCTGGACTCAACCATAGACTTAATGCCTCATGAAGGTCTTCAAAAATTCTCTGTTTGGAACAAAAACCAAGCAGATTATATAAAAATAACAAATTCCACTGTAACATATATATCTAATGAAGAAATAAAGCCTCTTAGTGGAAATTATGAAATTCTGGAAGTAGCATGTTATGCAATAACACCTTTGAGTTTGGTTCAGCCTCCTGGGTACACAGTGCACGGAAGCAATATGCAACAGCTAATTGATGACGTACTGGAACACTCAGGCTACAGTTTTCACCATACATGTCCTTCTGTTTCAGTAACAACTTTATGTCATTTACATAGCAAAGAATTTAAAACTGGTGATTGACAAAGCAACAAGACAAAGAATAAATTAGCAGAATAACTCACCATAGCGGATATTGCTTCTGACAAACACTGAATACAACCATTTAGACCTTCAACTCCAGTGGCCCTTAATTCCCTTGCTTTTGCAATAAGAATTCTAGATTTTTGTAAACAGCTATCATTTGTAACATACACCTCTCCCAGAAGGATGTCTATGATCTCCATTTTCATTCTCTGACAGAATACTGGGTTCAAAGAATTCATTTCTTTGTATGCCAGAAGCTCCTGAACGCAGTTTTTTTTATTTAAAAAATAAAAAATTAAAAAAGATGAGCAAAATAGCTATTAAAAGTAAGGAAATAAAGATATCAAAATCAAAGTTAGATGTGTAATAGAAACATAAAAATGAGACTACAAAAGAAGAGGGGGAAAGGCCAAACCTGCTCTAATAATATGCCGAGGGTCCTTTTTGACACTTTCAGAGAAGATGACAGCAAAGAATGTATGGTTGTTGCACCATGCTCCACATCCACATCCTTACAAAGTTTGCAGTTTATCTGAAAACCATGTAATAATCAGACAGCAGAAACATGCAAAATATACTAAAGACAACAAAAAGCTTTCATATGTACCTTCACCCACTGTTTCACCAAAGCTATGGGACTTGGCAGCCTTTCAACCAAGATTTCAGCAACAGACCAGTTTTCAAGACTATCCCCAATAATTCTATTCACTTTATGACTTCCACATTGATAAAGTACATCCAGAAGTAATGCACTTTCTGTGCATGCCTCTCTGACAAAATCTACAATAGCATCTTCTGTCTTGTCACTGTGAGGCCTATTTGATTTGTTTACAAACATATCACGAAGATGTGATACACAGATCCATGATGCTCTGCAACTTAATTTCAACACCTTTGAAGCCTGCAAAACCCATTGATATCTGAAGGAAAGCCTAAATCCATGAATGCAACAGAACTAAAAAAGTCATTGGGTAATACGTAATTATGTTCCAACATCATGTGACAGATTTTTCAGACCCTACACATTAGATACATAATAATCAAGCCCTAGAATACAATGTGCTTAATACATGTATGATATAACATGATCAAATAATAATATATATGTGCTGCCGTTTTGTCTATCTACTCTGCATAAGATTTGGGTATCAACTAAGACAAAAACACTTGACATCTCTGTTTTGCACATTGTATTTTAAGATGAGATATGGAGTATTAAAAGATGGTGACATATATGAGCAGGATACAGGACATGAACACGAATACAGGAAACATGAGCACAGGAAACATGAGCACAGATACAGGACATGGACATAGCAACCGCACAAAATTTAAGAAAGTAGAACACAGAGACGCCATTAAAATATGCATAGATTATATATGACCAACAATAACTCATGACAACTAAATCTAATATCCATTGACTAAATGAAATTTTGTAACTTATAAATAATCAAAAACTCCATTGCCATATAAAGTCATAACTGAGGCACTGACACGTGTGTGTGTGCGCGCGCGCATATGTACTTAGATATGCATGTTTATAAATAAATAATATTTAAACACAATTTGATGACTACTCTGTCATTTCCTATTCTCAGACCCACTTACATAATAAAACCATTCTATATCTTTTGCTTTTAGATATGATTAAACTTATAATGAGATTAGTGTAGCCCTTTGATTTGATTTTTGTTCTTACAACTATTCTTTTTTCCATGCCAAAAGAGCCTAACCCAATGTATAGATTCATCAATCATATGTTGGCGAGTTCCAAGTACTATTGGTAATGTGTTCAAAACTATTAAAATGTACCAAAATGAGTCATGCACGTGTCTAGAAGTATCAGTGTCAACCACTTGTTTGACAAGGAATCAATCCTTAGACATGTCCATGCTTCTTATTCAATCAGCAATTTTCTTTTAACTTTGTAGAAGTAGCATAATTATCCTTTTGCTAGATATATAAAATATGAATTATCACAGCACACTTTTCTTCCAAAACATGTATTATTGTATGCATTTACAACACAAGTTATTGCATCAATTAATTCTCACGACTCATCCAAGACATCGCTCATTACTCAAATCAATGAATTGGAATATAGACCTGGGTTTGACCGTGCTGAAGCCTCTATCTATTGAACACGTTTTTGCCCAACAGCATTAATCCTCTGTCCAGCCTGGGACCAGAAACACATAAACACCCTTACACCAGCGGTTCAGGCCAGAATAGTAATAAGACTATCTTGACCATAACAGCTAATCCAACATATAAAACCTCATGCATTACCTCCAGAAATTATTTGAAAAAATAATCTAAAGCAACCTAAAGAACTACAAAATCAAAGGCACTAGCAGAAGAAATATGATGAAAAACATTATTTACAATCACAACTAAACAACAACAGTTCAAACTCTAAACATTGTGAAGTATCATCTTACTTCTCCACACTGCCGCCCCCACCCCCAACCCAACAAAAAAAATATGAGCACTTCAAAAGTGTAATTGAGGCATTTTTTTCCATTTAAAAATCAAACATTTTGGTAACAAATATAGCTTCATATGCAACTCCATATGAAACCACATCTTCCATAGTAATGTACCTCATTCAATTGCTTATTTCTGTACAAAATAGTACCAACATTGTGAAGAGACACAAAGAGAAACTTTAACCCATGAGGTTGAATCCAATTACATGCAATAACATGCTTAATGAAAGTTGCACTCTCCTGCAATAAGAAAGGACAAGCCAGTCAGCTAAATGCAAAAACAAAAATAAATAACATCATTCCTTCATGCAACAACTTAAGGTGAATAAAAGTTGCAACATCAAATGACAGATACTAATCTGAGTAATTCTATCATAACATAAATAAAAAAAAGGCAACCTTGACATTATGCTTTGTTCTGAATGAGAGAGTGAAAGCAGCCACAGCTACACTCAGCACTGTTTTGTCATTATCATCACAAGCATCTCTCCGCTTTTCAAATGCACTGGATCCATAAAAATGAAATGCAAAGAACTTTTATTGATGTACTTGATTAACATAAGTAAACAATACGAGAAGAGATTTTAGACAATGGTTTGCTCAACACAGGTTTCAGTCTTCAATGACTTGGGAGATACTATATTCAATAAGACTGCTCCAAAAATTCCTCACAATTCACTCTTAGGGAAATTTTCTTTTAATAGATATAACTAAGTCTGGGTGAAAGAAGTAAAAAGAGAAAATAAACAAAACATTCAAGTGCTAAATCAATGGAATGAGTGTGGGGCAAGGAGTGTTGCACAAGGGTGGCAACAAGAGTCCTGCTCACCATCCCATAATTTGGCCGTCTTTCAAGAAACCTTATGAACCAAAAGATCAATGACTGGGACTTAACTTTAGATCAGATCATTGTTGTATCATCCATTTAGGTGGTTGTTTCTTTACAACTTTGGAGGTTAACCAAATATTTAATCAAGCAGCTCAAGTGCAAACACGTCTGGATAGTAAAATTGTAGAATATATCAACAGCCTACCTGTGATGGAACAGAAAAACATCACAGAACTGATGGAGTGCATCCTGAATGTCACAGAGTACTGCAGAAAACGAAGCACCTTCAGTTTCACCGACTATCTCTTTCCGTGTTGAATTTACAAACTTAGCAAGTTGCTGGCATAAATATTTCAGTGCATTATAATAAGACAGCATATAAGACTTTCCAATCTTATGTGTAAAAACTCCAGATCCCTCATAATTGGCTTCTATCTTTGAATGCACTCGATGTACATAATTCTTAACTTCAGTACTAAATGGCAAGCTGTTCTCTTTGCCACTCGTATGAAAATGGCTTTTTAATAAACCAAGCAAAGCAGTCAAGTGCTGGAGCCTATCCTCATTATCAAGCAAAAAATCAATCATGGATCGATCCTTCATATTTCTCGTGGTTGTAGAGTCACCCTGTCTTGACTGACTATTGCAATCATTTATAAACAACCCAGTAGAATAAAGCCCCAGAATCAGATCAATGGGTGACAAGCCCTGGGGAACAAATTAAAAAATACATTGTTATAGAGAAGGCTGTAACACAAAATTTTGAGAGATGCATATAGAGCCTTACATAGAAGAAAACGATAGATTGCAAAAAAGATACCTGAAAAATGTCAACTGCTATTTTGTTCAAATGTGTGGCAATAGAATGACACAAATTTGTAGTTGCAGTTTGACATTGGTCAGCACAATAATAGACAAATTCAAGAAAAACCATGGCAGTGCTTTCCTCTTCGACCTGCCAAGTATGTGTAATGTTATATTCCCATTAAAGAAAATAATCTAAACATTTTAAACATTATTTTAAATATTGAAGTAACAATGTTTAATTAAGATTCCATAGTTAACAAGTAATGTCATAATTCTGAAAGCATATTTTCAATTAAGGGTTCCACGTATTTCATAATAATGTAAAATTCATATCACAACAAAATAGAAGAATCCCAATCAGGCCGTAGAATATGCTAAAGTTTGCAAACTTGGGCCGCTTGAGAGGAGTACATTCCAAGGAATTCATACAGCTGAAAAGAGGATGCAAGGTACAAACCTGTTCTACATGATGTTCTCAGGTCGGGAAGCCCAACAGATCCCATAGCAAGATTAACTAGTGAGTCAAGTTGAACCACAAAGGGGAAGCAAATTTTGTATGCTTAACATCACGTAATGGTGATAAGACTCAGTTTAACTCTGTTGCCAATTGCGCTAGCCATGCAATGTAAAAATGTAATCTTATGCTCATAGTTATTACTACAACGCGTAGATTAGTAAGTTTTACATTTCATATTAAGCACCAAGTCATGAAATGGCATGGGCTTGAAGCCTAAATGTTAAATAATTGGAAAAATAACAATATATAGATGACTTATGTAAAGCATGAACATACTCTGAAACCAAACAAAGACTATTAAGTTTGATTATAATACCTTGCATTCACCGGCCATAGTGTCCAGCACACACATGAGGAGGTCAATGACACTTGAAGATTTGTTGTCATATTGTGAGACTATGGAAGAACATATCTCACAAGCAAACTGCATATAGAATATCAACTAAATAAACATAGGAACATGTGTTGAATTTTAAGTTGTGAGGATGGGATATAGTTCACCTTCTGCATTTGATCTTTCATAGATGATCTTCTGTACTCATCGAAGATTAACAAGCAGAACCGGCGCACCAAATCCCCGCCAAATGACATAAGGTTCCCAACCAACAATAAAGTGTATTTACCAATATATTTCACTAGAACCCTATGCAGCTTCTCATATGCATTCGCATCTAACACGCTTAAGTATCAAATTAAAATAAAAATAAATAAATAATCAGTTAACCACATCGTATCAGCTCAAACAACACAAGTATATACTACTAAATCTCTGCAGCTTGATAGTTCCAAAAAGAAACCCATTACACACCTGAACCATGGAGTGACCTCATCCACCAAAGAAAGTACTCTCCTGTAGTCTCCTTCGTCTTTAGTTTGATTCATGAAAGTGCACTTGACAAGAGTTACAACAATATCCACAACCAAATAAGTAAATTCAGAATCGACATTCTCTCCCTTAAAATCTGGAAGAAGTCGCTTCTGGGGCTTTGCCTTTTTCGAACCCGAAACTCCAACCTCCATACCCCTCAGATTATCAAGCATCAAATACCCTTCACTTTCAGCATCTTTGTACCGTCCCCATCCCTCAAAACAATGCATCAACCGAACCCTCTGGAGGTGAACAGAATAGGGTTTACCAGATAGCTGCGAAGAAATGCAATCCAAGCAATTCAAACACAGCTTGTAAGTATCGAATAATTGGAGACCCAATTGTTCGTCGAGTTTGGGGGTTTTAGAGAGGCGTTTGGGGATGAGTGATAGGGCGCGGTTGAGGACGGGGAGGTACTTCTTGGAGAGGGATCGGAGAGTGGATGAGTGGTCTTGTCCGAGGGTGTTTGAGGGTTTCTTGGTTTTCTTGGGTTTCGGGGATATGAGATCGGTGAAGGGATGGAGGTAGTCGGAGAAGAGACGGTGTATATTGATGATATCGGAGCTATCGAGTTTGGAGATGAGAGAGTCGGCGTCGGAATCCATTGGAGAGAGAGGGGGATAGAAAGAGACTGTGTGAGTGTGAGAGATGTAGAAAGAGAGTCCCTCTGTGTAAGTGTGTGAGTGTGAGAGATGTAGAAAGAGAGTCCCTCTGTGTAAGTGTGTGAGAGAGAGTCTCTATGTGTGTCAGTGTGTGTGAGAGAGAAAGTGTAAAAGGGCGCCAATATGAAACTTCAAAACAGGAGAGGACTTGGAAGAAGGAAAGGTAGCGTGACCGGTGTGTTGTGGTTAGAGACAATGACAACCGATTTGCACCGTTCCCTCTTACCGCTAGGAGCCTCGGGTTGACGCCGAATGCCGGGGAATTGTTATTAGGCCATTTGCACCGTCTCTTTGAAATTTGACTCTCTGAAAATATCACATCAACTTTTTTAAAGGTCGCGTCAACAATTTCAAGATCCACGATAACAACTTTCACTTTTCAAAAACATACACTCTATCAAACTCTCCGAATTTTCACTCCCCAAAACAAATAATAATAAAAAATTAAAATTAAATTTTTTTTTTTTACTTTTCTGCTATATTCATAACGGTTATATTTTTAACAGTGCAAAAAAGTTTTTTTTATTTATTTTTGGCGCAAATAAAATTTATTTTTGACAAACAGTGCCTCAACAATATATTTTTTATTTAATGAATTTTATTTTATTTTTTATTTTAAAAAAAAAAGCTCAAAATAACCTATTTTTAGGTTTTTTTTAAAAAAAAAAAAATTCAGCCAAACACTGCCTTACTGTTTGAGTAGCTGCAAAATAAGACAAATGAGGGGCAGCCCAAACGGCGCCGTTTTGAAGGAAAAACAAAAAAAAAAAAATGCCCCGCGAACAAAAATGGGCCCTACCAATTTTGAAAGCCAGCTGCACGTCCAAAGCCCCTCTCTCTCGCTGAAATTGGGCTATGAAGAGCCCGCTGCAGCTGCTCGTAGCCAACGTCTCGATCATAACGGTCATTATTTTTTTTCATTTGTTATTACAAGTGTTTTTTCCAATTATAATTATTTTAAAATTTTATTTATACTAATTTATTGCTTGTTAGTTTTGACTCGCTAATCTGTCTATAACATTTTATGCAAACTAATAACTTCTTACTTCCTACTCGTGTATCTGTAATTTTTTATCATATATAATTATATACCACCTAAGTTTATAGTTGTCGTTACCATCTGTTCTAAAATATTAATTTCAAATGCACAAATGCATTTTTTTTTTTTTTTTTTTTTTAAGGTCTAATACTCTCTCTTAACTCAGCCATCGGAGTAATAATATACCTCCTAAATCTATTATCTCTATATATTTATTATTAATAGTCGCCCTTCCTAAATATATTTTTTCTTTTACCTTAGCAATAATCTCATAGGCCTATTACAATTATACCCTCTCTTATAGATACTCAAACCTTCTACTTTGGGATAGGGTAATGTACCATGAGGCTATTATAGTCTTGGATTTTAGGTATGCAATACACTTTGATTAGTATCTCTTATCTTTTAGTTGTCCTTACTTACCATCCGTCCTAACATTTTAATGTTAAATAAAAAAATGCTTTGTTTTTGTTATATATATATGCACACTTGTGTGGAGTCCACGAATTCATTAAGTCATCCATGTAATCATAAGTTTTAAGGCTTACAAAGAAAGATGGCTTTGAAGGCTTATAAAAGAAGATACCAAAATGGCGTACATGGGAAGCTACACTGTGAGCCTATATAAGGCATTTAATGTCTACTATTTTCATATATTAAAATTGAAGCTTTCATTCTCTCCGTGTCTCTATTTCGTTCTCTCTCTCTCTATCTCTCTGTGTACAAGTTTTTTTATTTATATAATAACTATTATTATATATATATACACACACACATATATTTATTACACGTTATCAGCACAAGCTCCATCCATCTCAGATTTGAAAAAAAAGCTTTCTCTCCCTCTTTCTATCCCAACTATATATCTATTTTGTGATATTAGTTTTGATAGATTTGTTGCGTTGGTTTGGTTTATTAAAAAAAAATATTATTTCTGATTCTAAAGGGTAAGAAAATCATAATTATAGATTATTGTTCATAAAATAAAATTGTTCACTTAAATAATATATGTGCTTACACTATGGTCGGTTCTACCACCTTTATTATTTATTGATCCACTAATTATGGTCGGTCTTACCACCTTTGTTATTTAATGTTTTATGGCTGGTTTTATCGCATTTATTGTTTCATAATTTATTTACTATGGCTGGATTTACCATATTTGTTATTTAAATAATTTATATTATGTTATTATTTCATTCAATGCCATTTTATTTATATATTATGCTAAATTATATTTTTATATTGTTGTCACATCTAATTATTCTGAAAATGTCAAATCTGACAAAGCTGGAATTCGTGGCTCTGGATATTTGCAAAAATTATTTATCATGGATTTTGGATGCTCATATCCATTTGGATGCCATAGGCCTTGGAGACACAATTAAAGAAAACAATGATGCATCATTGCAAGATAAAGCAAAGGCCATGATTTTCCTCCGGCGCCATATTAGTGAGGAACTGAAAACTGAATACCTCACTGAAAGAGATTCAATTTGTTTGTGAAAGAATTTGAAAGAAAGATATGATCATAAAAAAATAGTCATCCTCCCAAAGGCCAGGGCTGATTAGCTGCAACTGAGGTTGCAAGATTTTAAAACTATGGCTGAATATAACTCTGCTCTATTCAAAATCAATTATACATTGAAATTATGTGGTGATACTGTTACTGATGAACTTTTGCTAGAAAAAATATTCTTCACATTTCACGCCTCGAATGTACTATTGCAACAACAATATCGAGAGCGTAGATTTAAAAAATACTCAGAGCTGATATCATGTTTGCTTATGGCGGAGCAAAATAATGAGTTTTTGTTAAGAAACCACCAGTCCTGTCCAACTGGATCGACACCGATCCCTGAAACACATGTTACCTCATCTCATGGTCGTGGACGTGGTCGTGGTGGTAGAAATGAATATAGTCGTGACAAAAATAACTACCACAATAATGAATATGATCGTGGTAGAAATCATTCTTATTATCGTGAATGATATCAATCCTCACATTTTCGCAATCAGAGATCCACACCATATTCTCAAAGGAGAGATCATCATAAAATGAAACAGGGAAAAATGAAGGATGTGGCTCAACATTCAAAGGCACACGATAATACTTGTTATCGGTGTGGCATGACAGGGCATTGGCAAAGTATTTGTCGTACACCTAAGCATCTGGCTGAACTTTACCAAGCCTCAACGAAAGAAAAGGGAAAACAAAAGGAAATGACTTTCCTTGATCATGATGAGCCAATTGACACCACAAATCTGTAAATAAATTTCATTAATCATGATGAGCCAGTTAACATCACAAATCTGGAAAGAATAAACTTCCTGATTGGTGATGGAAATGTCCATACCAATTAATCTTATTTTCTTTTCATATTCTGTCTACTATGTTTGTATTTTCCTTGTATTAAAGTTTTTATCCTCTAGTTTGAATTAAAGTTTATTTTGTTATAAAAGTTTATTTTCTGACAAAGAAATTTGCATGAATAGGAATGGATCTGACTAGTTCCAATATAAATAGAGAAAACATATGTCTTACAGATAGTGGAACAACACATATAATCCTTCAAGATCAAAAATATTTTTTCCACTTAATTCTGTCAGACGCCAGTGTCAGTACCATATCAGGTCCCACCGACTTGATTGAAGGCTTTGGACGAGCCAACATCATTTTACCACATGGAACAAGATTACAAATCAATGATGCCTTATATTCTATAAGTTCTCGGAGAAATCTGTTGAGTTTTAAAGACTTACGTCGTAATGGGTATCATATTGAGACCGCAAATGAAAGAAATGTGAAATATCTCTACATTACTTCCATTACCTCAGGCAAGAAGCTAATATTAGAATAACTCCCTGTTTTCTCTTCTGGGTTATACTATACAACCATTAAAACAATTGAGTCAAATGCTGTGATCCATAAAAAATCTTGTGACCCAAAATTTTTTATGCTTTGGCATGATCGACTTGGTCACCCAGGGAGTACAATGATGCGTCGAATTATTGAAAATTCATATGGTTACCCACTAAAGGATCAAAAAATCATCTTACCAAATAATCATCTATGCACCGCCTGCTCACAAGGTAAGTTGATTATCAGACCATCTCCTTCAAAAGTCATTGTTAAGTCTCCCCAATTTTTGCAACGAATTCATAGGGATATATGTGGGCCAATTCATCCACCACGTGGACCATTTCGCTATTTTATGGTCTTAATTGATGCCTCAACAAGATGGTCACATGTGATACCCCCTAATTTCGGAATACGGGTTGATCAAGTCCGCGCACACGATTAAGGGATATCAAAACAATTAAAGTATTTAAACAAGCACCGAGTACAAAAAGAAATAAAAAGAATAAATAATTCGCTGAATGAAAATCTATTAAATAAAAATTCCATTAATAATTCTCCCAAAAGTTACAATTCGAAAATCCTGTAAATCAAGGATCTCTGATAACATAATCCAATAATCCAATGGTCTTTAAATAATATCCATTATCTAACAATAAGAAAATCTCTTACATTGAAATGAGATGAATGAATTGATAAGTCCTCCAGCTGCGGATTCTCAACCTTGAGACTTGAACTTCTAATAACATGAAAAATAAATCGCGGGTTAAACCCTACGAGGAAGTTCTCTCTACCAGACCTCTGAAAACCAATAAATAGATCATCTCTGATCAAAAGCAAAACTAATAAAGTCTTTATCTTTAATGTACATAATTATATACAATATAACTATCATAACTATTACCAAGTTCATCAATTTCAAAACCATTATCAATGATTAATTAATAATCAAACCCAGTCCAATCCACAATTTCTTTTAAAGAAACTACTCTAACCCTAACTCCATCCTAGATAGCAATTTAATAACTTAAACCATAAAATATAATTAAAAGAACATTTTATTTAATTTCCAAAACCAATAATGATTTTAAGTATTTAAATCACACAGTCATATCTAGACTTTGACAAATCACCCATGTCACTGCCAGTATTATTTTACTAATATGTATAAAATAACACACTAAACTGTAAATACTAAACTATTCTACTTTAAGAATATCTAATCCTCATCCAACTTACACAAATAGTAACCATAGATGATATATTTTAATCATCTAACACACAACAATATAATTACACTTTGGCAAATCAACCATGC